GCTTCAGTGGCATACGGCGGTCACACAACACGCCGGATGCACTCTTCCACTTCATCCATCCAGCTTGTATTCTATGGTTGAGATCTCCATCTAATTCTCCGTTCTTTTGCAAGATAGATCCTAGGTAACGAAAACGGTCGCTCTTTGGTATTTCTTGATCTCCGATCCTCACCCCTAACTCGTTTTGGCCTCCATTTGCACTGAACTTGCACTCCATATATTCTGTCTTTGATCGGCTTAGGCGAAGACCTTTAGATTCCAACACTTCTCTCCAAAGGTTAAGCTTTGCATTTACCCCTTCCTGAGTTTCATCTATCAACACTATATCGTCTGCGAAAAGCATACACCAAGGAATATCATCTTGAATATGTCCTGTTAACTCATCCATTACCAACGCAAAAAGGTAAGGACTTAAGGATGAGCCTTGATGTAATCCTACAGTTATGGGAAAGCTTTCGGTTTGTCCTTCATGAGTTCTTACGGCAGTCTTTGCTCCTTCATACATATCCTTTATAGCTTGGATATATGCTACTCGTACTCCTTTCTTCTCTAAAATCCTCCAAAGAATGTCTCTTGGGACCCTATCATACGCTTTTTCCAAATCTATAAAGACCATGTGTAAATCCTTTTTCCCATCTCTATATCTTTCCATCAATCTTCGTAAGAGATAGATTGCCTCCATGGTTGAGCGCCCTGGCATGAACCCGAATTGGTTGTCCGAAACCCGTGTCTCTTGCCTCAATCTATGCTCAATGACTCTCTCCCAGAGCTTCATTGTATGACTCATTAGCTTAATACCCCTATAGTTCATGCAATTTTGTACGTCGCCCTTATTCTTGTAGATAGGCACCAAAGTGCTCGTTCGCCACTCATTTGGCATCTTCTTCGTTTTCAAAATCCTATTGAAAAGGTCAGTGAGCCATGTTATACCTGTCTCTCCCAAAAGTTTCCACACTTCGATTGGTATATCGTCTGGGCCTATTGCTTTTTTTATGCTTCATCTTCTTCAAAGCTACAACCACTTCTTCCTTCCGGATTCGACGATAAAAAGAGTAGTTTCTACACTCTTCTGAGTTACTCAACTCCCCTAAAGAAGCACTCATTTCATGTCCTTCATTGAAAAGATTATGAAAATAACCTCTCCATCTGTCTTTAACCGCGTTCTCTGTAGCAAGAACCTTTCCATCCTCATCCTTGATGCACCTCACTTGGTTTAGGTCCCTTGTCTTCTTTTCCCTTGCTCTAGATAGTTTATAGATATCCAACTCTCCTTCTTTGGTATCTAGTCGTTTATACATATCGTCGTAAGCCGCTAACTTAGCTTCTCTGACAGCTTTCTTCGCCTCTTGCTTCGCTTTTCTATACCTTTCACCATTTTCATCGGTCCTCTCCTTGTATAAGGCTTTACAACATTCCTTCTTAGCCTTCACCTTTGTTTGTACCTCCTCATTCCACCACCAAGATTCCTTTTGGTGTGGGGCAAAGCCCTTGGACTCTCCTAATACCTCTTTTGCTACTTTTCGGATACAACTAGCCATGGAATCCCACATTTGGCTAGCTTCCCCCTCTCTATCCCACACACATTGGGTGATTACCTTCTCTTTGAAAATGGCTTGTTTTTCTTCTTTTAGATTCCACCATCTAGTCCTTGGGCACTTCCAAGTCTTGTTCTTTTGTCTTACTCTTTTGATATGTACATCCATCACCAACAAGCGATGTTGATTAGCCACGCTCTCTCCTGGTATAACTTTGCAATCCTTACAAGTTATACGATCCCCTTTCCTCATTAGAAGAAAATCTATTTGTGTTTTTGACGACCCACTCTTGTAGGTGATCACATGTTCTTCTCTCTTCTTAAAGAAGGTGTTGGCTAAGAAGAGATCATATGCCATTGCAAAATCCAAGGGGGGAATTGATGAATACCTCTAAAAAAAAAGTGAACAAAAACTAAAAAATTCGAAGTTATTTTTTAAAAGAATTTTGTAATATTTTGTTTCAAGAACTCAACTGAATATTGACATTCCGAAAGCTTTTGGTTGAAATTGAAAGGCAATTCTGATTCGCGAAAACTTTGGATTAGATTTGAAACACTTGATTCCAATCCAATCCGTCCAACAGTTAGGCAAACACAATCCAATGTTACTTCACATCTATCGTTAAAAATCAAACCAATCTCTGGAAGAAATTAACATATCATATTTCAAAGTTGAGCTATTACAGAAACATCAATGAAAAGTAACATCAGTAAACTTTTTTCCAAGTTTCCAAACCATACAACTTACACCTCAATGAAATACAAAAGTTATGTGATTCTGAAAACTTCTGCCTATAACAAAACATAAAACCGGTTTCTTCTTGATCCTGGCAGAAAGTTTTGACTAATCTCGTTCGGAACCACAGAGCATAGCAGTCCTTTGTATCACTCGACCAAAAACATGCAACAAATTTATACAGATTCATCCACATGGTTTCTTAGCTTCTCAATATCGTCTTCCTTCAAGTGTAAATGACAACTAAACTGCAGGATTTACGTATCAATGAGTTGAAGCGTGTGGAGGAGGAGGAGCACCACCCAATCCCATCTTTTGCCCCAATACTGCAAGCTGCTCCACAAACTCCTGTCCTGTGAGTATTTCTGTTGTTCCATATATAACATGCTTGACAGGCTGCTGACGCTGCGCAAGCTCTTGTAGGCTCCCATACTCCACATAATTACCACCACCAATCATGAAGACGATAGCTTCCTTGAAAGGTCCTTTTAAATGGCTGCTACCCATTCCTGAGCTTGACTTCGGAGCACGAGGATCAAACACAAGGTAGGAATCAATTTCTGGATTCGGCCTCCCCTCCGCCAAGGCCTCCACTGTTCTTGTCAGTGCTAGCTGCCTATCATTGGACAAAAGATTTTTCACACCTGCTGTCACAGCACTTATTGATTGCCCATAGAGTTTCTCTGCCCAATCGACTATGTTGCTTCTGCTAGCAGAATTTGCTGATGCCAGTGAGACATTCAGCGCCTTGATCTTCTTCACATACTGAAATGCACTGGTATCAACCTCAGATTCCCTGAGGGCTGCTTCCACTGCTTCCACTTCCTGTTGATTAATGGCTTCAGAAGAAATAAGATACATGATGGAAAACCGCAGCTTATCCATCTTACTCCCTTTACCTCTAAGCACACCTAAAAGTTCACTTCGATCAATGCCTCCTCTAACCATCATGTCATACTCCTTTTTGGCAAAAGAATCGAGCAATCTCTCTTTGATCTCACCCAACAACACAGTTGCAATGTTGGTGTGCTTATCAATCACCTGCTTCCGTGCTGTCAACTCTGGCAATGAGTTCACTGCACTCATCAAATGTTTTGTATTCCCAATCATGTCTGTTCCGTCAAACTCAGCTCCATCATTCCCGCCAGTCCGTCTGTTGACCTCATCAACATCCCTCTTATACTTATTCAATTGGGTCTCAATCTCTACCGCTACTTCCGGAAATTCTAGAGACCCATTTGCTACCCAAAAGGGATCTGAGCTATCTAACTCATATGACTTCATCCCACCCTTTTCACCTTGAACATTCAACCTATTAAGCTTCAATCCAAGAATATCATGCACCAAGGGTCGGTACCTAAAATCATGCTGTATTCCCACAGATAACTCAAAATTACGATCAAATATACACAATATGGGGCGCTGGAAAGAGGTCACAAAATTTCCACCTTCGGTAAACAGATTGTTTTTTGACAACAAGTGGTCACGAAGTCTCTGATCCAATGCTGATGCTACCATCTCAGCTGGTCCACCGCGAGGGCACCTGATAATTGGCACAACAGCAAGCGTAGCCAAAACACAGAACAAGCCACCAACTATCTTTTCAATAATCTCCTCAATCTCACGGTCTCCTGCCTTGGGATCGTTTAACTGAACATAACTGTTCTTCTGTGCCAATGAGAACAAATTATCTTCCAGTGTCACAAACTCCAAATACTGATCATGCACCTTCGAAATCCGATGAATCGAATCTGAATTCAAAGTCCCAGATGCCAGGTCCTCAAGCAGAGGTCGAGGAATCAAGGACGAGAAGTTCAGATGGAAGCTATCATACAGCGAGTTGGAGGTGTCGGCAATGATCCTCTGAATGTTGGAATGGCTGGGCTGGACAAAGTAGACAGCAGGCACATCGTGAACAGGTTTTCGGTCCTTGTCAATCAGGAAGTACAGGGTCACGCCGTGCTTACGGAGGTCCTTGACATGGATCAACGGGGAGAGTATGTTTTGACAAAACTTATCATAGATCAAGATCTTATAGACCTCCTCGTTGGCCATACCGGTTGCATTAACGGGTTGGTTCAGATTCAGCATACGGGTAATACATTCTGAATACAGAAATCACAGATCAAAATCAATAATTTACGCAAATCCCAGAAAAATTATTCAAATTTAAGCAAGCCCAATTCAAGCAAAGCAAATGAATTTAGTCACAGTTCTCAAACCAAAACCACAGATCAAGCTCAACAAACAAAACCCTCATAAAATATACACATTTCATCCATTCCAATTGTAATTCCGGTGAAAATTCATCTGGGTTTTCTATATTAACTAAATGGGTTCTCGATTTAATCCAATTTTTTCAATTTTTGCTTCCTTGGTTTGGTTGAGACACAGAGATCTAGAGAGAGAAACTAAAATGGTCAAAAGATAGTATCACCTGTTTGCCTCTGCCGCAGATTGAGCGCCATGGCCGTGAAATCTACGTTCTCCGGCGAAGCAAAGACTCACTAAGCAACTTTTGGTTCGCTTCAAATTTTATGAATTTCCCAAAACAGCTCTGCAAATTTGAGGGTGCCGGTGATGTAAAAAGATAGTTGTTCGTCTACAGCCGGTTCAAGACGAAGAATTATACTCTGGCAAATAGGAGTTCGCCACGTCATAAAATACAGATGTAGTTACTTCATTGGTTGACCACGGAGTCTAACCAATGTGATCTCATTGAAGCCTACCAATAAAATCACATACCGTACGTGGAGGGTGTGTGTAGAGGAGAAGGAGAGGAGTGAGGTGGCGGGGGGCGGTGTGGAGATGGCGGAGACGACGTCGTTTCTGAGGAACAGGTACTGGGTGCTGAGGCACGGGAAGAGCATTCCGAATGAGAGAGGCATCATTGTTTCTTCCATGGTTATTTTTTCTCTTTCCTCCCTCAATTTTCCTTAATTACTTGTTTGGCCCTGCAGTTTTTGAGTATTTTGAATTCGACACAGGAAAATGGTACCCGCCCAGAATATCAATTGGCGCCAGAAGGCGTAAGTCAGGCACAATCAGCTGGACAATCATTCCAAAAGGTATTACTTTCTGTTTTAAGATTTGAACTTTTTTGGTTTGTTTTGAGTGCAATTTATTTCACATTCGAAAAGTTTGAATCTTTTTAGTGTGCAAAATCATTGAATGATTGGGAAATGTGAATTAGAGTTTGAAAACTGGTAGGCTGGAAGATTTAACCGAAAACCGGAATGTCGATGGAGACGAAGGAAGAAATGGGAGTTTGAGTAGTTTGTAATGTGCAGGTGCTTGAGGAAAACAACGTCCCACTTGATAATGTTCGGATTTGCTACTCTCCGTTTTCGAGAACAAGTCAGACTGCTCAAGTTGTTGCATCTGTCTTGAACATTCCATTTGAGGGGGCTCAATGCAAGGTAAGATAGTCCCTGAAAATCGACCAAAAGAACGGTATCTTGGTTGATTTCTGATTGAGATAAGCTTGGTTGATCGATTATGCTAATTTAGATTTCAAACCAGTGATCTTTTCCCCTGGTTGCTTTTTCTGGACAGGTGATGGAAAATCTTCGCGAACGCTTCTTTGGTCCTTCGTATGAGCTTTTGTCACATGATAAAGTAAGTCCACTGGTGTTGGTGTGGTTTTTTCTACTGATTAAAGTGGCAGATTAAAGGCTTTGTCTATATTGTCGGGTTTATTATAGGTGGTGCTAACTTATAATCATCTGTTGCTGATGCTGAGGCTGTCATAATTCTGTTTGCCCTTTTGCTGGTAGTATCACGATATATGGGCTCTTGACCAGAAAGATCCACTCATGAGGCCGGCAGAGGGAGGAGAGAGTGTCGATGATGTTGCGTGCAGACTTGCAGAAGCAATGGAAACTATGGAGTCACAATTTCAAGGGTAAGTGTATAAATACGCGTTTGGTATTCTCACATCGTAGTCATGTTTGCAATACATCTATCTTAATTTATAGAAACATCTTAGTCTTATGTTTTACATTGCATGACATGAAATAAAACGTGTAGTAGTTGCTGTGGAACTTAAAAAAGCCTATTTCCGAATAATTTCTACTTAAAAGAAAATTGAAACATCCGTCGGCGTTTAAGAATTTTAGAATTAAGGATAAAAAATTTGTAACTGCAATTAATCAGTTTGTTTGCAGTTCTTGATAGATTATTTTTCAATGCGGTTCCTCAGTTAGCGATTTTCTCTCTTATTGTACAAGACCGCCGGTCTATCCAGCTGTGCCACGGCTTTCCTCTTTTGACTGCCATTAGGTTAAATTAAGTCATACATTTTCTTGCCTGCGTATTATATCCGTGTGACTTTGTTACATATGTTCGTTCAATCTACAGGTGCATGATCTTAGTTGTTAGTCACGGCGATACCCTACAAATCTTGCAGACGATACTCAATGCTGCCAAGCTAAACGCGGGATCCAGTTACACTGACCTGTCATCAAGAATTCAAGCAGTTCGAACCCCTCCCATCTTATCACAGCACCGGAAGTTTTCCCTGCTTACTGCAGAGCTCCGGGCAGTGATATAAGTATTATCTGCGAGGAAACTTTCATCTTTTGTTTGTACTTTGTCAAAAACTAAGATTATGGATGGTAAGTAAAGTATATGCACAACTCAGCACGGAGGCTTTGCTTTGATTGACCATTTTTGGATAGCAAAAATCGATTTTTTAGTTCGCTTTCCGTTTGCTGCTCAGCCCTTCCCTCGTTCAAACTACCGAACAAGAAACGAAACTCGTTAAGAAATAATTCACCATCTCTGTAGCTATCATAAACTTGGACTGAACCAGCTCCTGCACATCGTTGAATCGCCAACGCTTGGAAAAAGAGTTGAAGGAGATTGAGTCACCTTCTCTAACAAAAAGTTGAATTTTAATTTCAGCTGTTATGATTACTGTCCTCGACATAAATGTGTAAATTACATATACCCTAACAAGGCATTTCCTCTAACTTCGATGCCATTTACATTTTTGTGCGCCCCTAACAAAAAAGTAGCCCCGAGGCGACAGTTGTTGCCATCCTCTATGAATTACAAAGAACAAAGAAGGCAACAGCTTCAGATGAAAATATCGACAAGCAAACAACAATGGACAAAACCCACAGGCCACAGCATCCCATGAGACAATTGCCATGATCCTTCCTCAATCTTTGGTTACCCACCTACGGCCTCTGACCTGAAACCCACCATAACTCTGATCACTACCGCTCTCTCCACCGCTTTCTGCACTTGTATATCCAGATTTGCGGCGATGCCTATTTGCCCTTGCAACCCCACTGTCACTCATGCTTCCGTTCAAGAGAGGGTCATCTATCCCACGAATCACCTTCCGTGTAGGTGATGTGGATATACAACTGTCATCCCTCGTCTTTCGTTTCTCCTTGTCATGTTTCTTAATGTTTTCGGAGATCTTGTGTAGCTTCTCATTGAACCTGGTGAACCCCTTCTCCACTGGCTCTACTGCCTGTGTAACTGTGAACTTCACATCTTGCACAATCTGTATTTGAGGCAAAGAGCAGATTCAGAACTCAAAACTGAAAAATCACCATGACCCACAGTCAACTGGTTTCATGTAGATACCGACTTTCTTTCAGTTCAACAGATGGTTGGACATTTGAAATGTATTAAAGAATAAAGGAACATTTTTCAATCAAACATTTACCACCTAACCACAGACATCACTTAGCAGCCTTCGCAATTTACACATGTTTTCAGTGTCTTACAGCGCAGAAATCCAATATCAACAGCAATCTACAAATCTTATTGGCTATACCAAAATGTAACATGTTGAGTGCATAAACAGTGTCTTACAGTGCAGACATCCAATATCAACAGCAATCTACAAATCTTATTGGCTATACCAAGGTGTAACATGTTGAGTGCATAAAGTTATACTTCTACGCCCTCTTTTGCTTAGGTTTTTGACTTAAAATCTCTATGCATCACAAGGTATTTTGTTGTTTGTATTGTATTTCAGGATGAAAGTAAGAGCTTGAAGAAATCATCTTATTTTGAATATCTAGAGCCTAGAATGGATAGTTTGAAGCCCAACTCGCCCAAGACCAGACCATAGCCCACAAATGACCCAGGATTCACCAGAAAAGGCCCTTGCAGAACAGCCAACTTGCGAGCTTTGCCCCGAAGTGCTCAGAACGAATTAGAAAATGGGCCATATATGGTTGGAAAGCCCTGGAAGTCTTCTTTCTGACGATCTTTACAGCTTGTGATTTGGAAGTTTCGACAAGAAGTTATGACAGAATAAAGAGGAGCTGTTCATATACAAATTCTGATAACAGATAGTTTTCAGTTACTCCTATACTAAAAGCTGATTGTAATGAGCTATAAATGAGAGTCAATTCAAGGATGTAAATGTGTCAAATGTTAGAAAAACTCCTAAGCCTTTTAATAGGAGAAAAATACACAGAATCAGAAGGAGAAAGAAGAGAAAAACACAGAATCTGGAGAGAGCAGGAGTCTTCAGCCTTGAGCAGTTTCTTGGTTCTAGCTTTCCTAACTTTTATGTATTTTGTTATGTTTTTAATTTAGTTTATGGATACTTAGGGCTGCTTTGAAGCCCTAGACATGATTGAATTAATCTTATGATGCAGCTTTAGTTTATCAATTTCATTTGCAAGCTAGAATCAGTTTTCTGTTTCAATCATTTCAAGCACATATTTTCTGTTGAGAATGATAAGGATGATTGCCATATCTTCTTTCATTCATTAGCAACATGTGGTTAGGTTCAAAACTAATCATGTAAATTGATTCCATGAAGTTCTAGGATAAATGCCATGTTCTAGGGTTAATGTGATGTTCATAATCCTCTTCGTTCTTAATGAGTTTCTAGGTGCTAAATCTGAGTATATGTTATGCTAGGTTGCACCTACAAATATAAGTTGTATGTATATGCCATGCATCTAACATGCAAAGTAAGAGAGGATTCATACAATCTAGTTATATGTCATGCTAGATATGTGAACATCTTAGTTGTGCATTTGAAGTCAGATTTAAGTCCTAAAAACGTTTCTAACCTATTTCATGACTTAGGTTTATGTTTAGATAGTTCTAATTTTTCACTTTTCTTTGTCTTTATTTCTTTTCCAAAATTACTTAAACCCCCCATTTTAAGTCATAGAAGTCTTTAACTAATGCTAATTTGTAAGAGTTCAAAGGTTTTACTAAGTTGTTTCTCAGTCCCTGTGGTTCGACACCCTTACTTGTGCCGCTATACTATCCTTATATGTGCACTCAAAAGGAACTTCAACATAACACTATCGTTGCTTTAATACATTTCTAAATAACCCTTTCCACAGGAGCTATTTTTCGGGTTTTTTATTTTTTTTTACATCAGGGATTACTAGTTCCATATTCTTAAATCAATTCATGATCGTACTGTATGAATAAAAGATACTTACATATTCCCCGCCACCAATGAAAACATCTCGAACACTTTCTCTGATTGTCATGCCACTCTTGACATCAATGTCAGGAGTGGGGAGGCGTAGCTTTGTGGGGCGTTCACTGTCCCTAACCTCCTCCGGATCCAAAGGACAGTCAGCCGATACATAGTCTCCAAGAACTGAGACAGTTCCAGCAAAACGATCTCCCATCATTTCATAAGGTTTGGCAGGAAACACATATAGGTGAACAACAGAGGCAATGCCCATCTGTAGGGGGTGAAAACGCAGAACTGTTAAACTAAAATATGTTGCATAAAGATGGTAAACTGAAAAATCTTTTGTCATGTAACCACTTTAACATTATTGAGAAATGCAAGACAAAGTATACAGAATACTAGTAGCAGAATAAAATGAAAATTGGAGGAGAAAAAAACTATTAGTCATGATTTTGATTTTATCGACTGACTAACCCTTCCTAGCCACCAACACCTTCAGACGAGGAGTAATTATCTCTCAAGACCACATCAACTCATAAAGTTCAAGTAAGAATAAACTACCATTTAAAACACTACAATACAAAATGTCAATTGAAAAGACAAAAAAGAAACTGTATTACCCAATGAAATGTTCTACCTCTATACAAATGATGAAGTCTTGAACACTTGACTTAAACTGCAATCCTTGAGCTATAGGGCTTTTGAACAAACCCAAGGAATAGAGAAGAGCAATTGCCACACCTTGCCACCATGTCAAAAACACAATTGATTTAAATGTCAAAAACTTGGCTAATGGTTTTATGCGAGCTAGTCCATCTTTTGTAACAGTGTAAAACTGAACGAGACAGTACAAAGCCCATGACTGACTAAAATTTAGAACCACAGCAATATAAATATACCTGCAAGCACAAGAAAATTACGACCATGAGAGTCCTTTATGAGTTGAACATCATTAAGTAATATTTTTACAATTCTTTTGTAGGACAATGAGATACGTAGGGCATCAACTAGATAGAAGGAAAATTGGCAAGTCAAAATATCAAGAGCACTTAAAACAGAAGGCATTCTTATTTGAGAAAGTAATTGGTGAAATCCCACAAGCTATGATACCATAGCATAAGTCAAAGGTTCTAAGAAAAAGGCTATGGCTACGGAAACTGAGGTCTTGACAGGTCTCTCCTGCTTGTTTTTGAAATACATACTTTAAAAGAACTAAAGCAGGATCACATGACCATTTTGCATCTCTATCAATTGACAAACCCGTCCACACTGTAACAGGCCAAAGAAATGAGCTAACATATGTTAGCCACCATCCACAGTGAGTTTAGCAAGATTTTAGAGGTTATTTCGACATGCAGGATTCCTGAAGATTCATTTAAAGATATACAACTATAACCAAAACTTACAAGTCCCCAAGGAGCAACTTCACATGTGTATGAACATAATCAATATATAATCAGTACGAGTAACAAGCAAGAGTTCCATGTGAAATTCAATAAGTAATAGTTTAAAGAGCTTCTTAAGGGGACAAAAAAAAACTTATCCTATCAAATATATTACATAATAATTTCAAATTACAAATGCTTTTCCTAAAATCATTTGAGATTCTCTTACCCACATCCCCATTTAAAGTCACCTTCGCAATATACATCAAAAGCTTCAAGGATAACTGCTACAATAGCACTGAGAGACTTAATTAACATCTGTCCAAGAATAGAAAGTGAATTTATGTTATAAAGGGGAATGGTATTTGAGAACAAGAAACAACGGCTGGTAAAAAAATAAACTTTCTCAAAGTGATGGTAAACATACATACTGAACAATTCCGAATTTGACAACTTGGTAAAACCATTGACCAAGTTTCCATGGTTTCAAGATATAGTTCACCGGAAAAGGATGATTAACTGTTCCCCTTTCAGAACTGTGTTCTAATAGGGGAATCTTAGAACTTGCACGTCCTTCTCTTTCCATAAACTCAATAGTCCTCTCTTCCCCACCTTACAAGGAGGAAAACATATATAAAAGAAAAATGTCAAAAGCAGAATAAATATAAACAACAGAAGTAAAGAAGTTTCTTTATCTATTAAAAACAAAAGGACTACAACTGTAAATGAAAAAAAAAATCCTGGATATATATGTACCCCACCAAACAAGGATTATTTGAAATTACCATACATACACTAAGTTAAAGATGGAAAATCTGATCATTCAACATGATTGTCATATGATTGGTCCTAAACACTTCAAAACC